GAAGGACATTGGATGGCAGAAATATTTTTAAAGCTCTGAAGTTCATAATTGCTTTTTTTTTTTTTTGAGACAGAGTCTCGCTCTGCCGCCCAGGCTGGAGTGCAGTGGCCGGATCTCAGCTCACTGCAAGCTCCGCCTCCCAGGTTCACGCCATTCTCCTGCCTCAGCCTCCCCAGTAGCTGGGACTACAGGCGCCCGCCACCTCGCCCGGCTAGTTTTTTGTATTTTTTAGTAGAGACGGGGTTTCACCGTGTCAGCCAGGATGGTCTCGATCTCCTGACCTCGTGATCCGCCCGCCTCGGCCTCCCAAAGTGCTGGGATTACAGGCTTGAGCCACCGTGCCCGGCCTGAAGTTCATAATTTCAAGTGATTGTTACTTTACGTTTTAAATTTTTGGCCCGGTATGGTGGCTCACTCTTGTAATCACAGCACTTTGGGAGGCCGAGCTGGGTGGATCACCTGAGGTCAGGAGTTCGAGACCAGCCTGGCCAACATAGTGAAACCCTGTCTTTACTAAAAATACAAAATTTAGCCAAGCCTGGTGGCGGGCACCTGAAATCCTAGCTACTTGGGAGGCTGAGGCAGGAAAATCACTTGAACCCAGGAGGCAGAGGTTGCAGTGAGCCGAGGTTGTGCTACTGCACTTGAGCCTGGGCAACAGAGCAAGACTCTGTCTTAAAAAAAAAAAAAAAAAAAAAAAAACACTATTTTTTAGAAGCTTGGCATAATCACATAATAATTTTCAGTTGTATCACGGAGGCCAATCGTTTTGCAAAAGTAATATAATTACTATATAAATATTTGCTAATAATCGGAAATTCTAATTTTGGTAGGTTGAATACCTGGTAAATCAGTAGTTTGATTTATATTTTCCTGAAGGTACATAATGGGTAAACTACTCTGTCTAAACCAGCACTGTCCAGTAGATCTGATGGAAAGATGAAAATGTACAGTCTAGTACAGTAGCTGCATGACTGTTCAGCACTTGAAATATAGCTAATACTACTGAGCTGCTGACTTTATAGTTTTAATTTAACTTATTTATTTATTTCTTTCTTGAGATGGAGTCTCACTCTCTCGCCCAGGCTGGAGTACAGTGGCACCATCTTGGCTCACTGCAGCCTCCTCTCAGGTTCATGCGATTCTCCTGCCTCAGCCTCCCGAGTAGCTGGGACTACAGGTGCTTGCCATCACGCCCGGCTAACTTTTTGTATTTTTAGTTGAGACGGGGTTTCACTGTGTTAGCCAGCATGGCTTCGATATCCTGACCTTGTGATCTGCCCGCCTCAGCCTCCCAAAGTGCTGGAATTACAGGCATAAACCACCACGCCTGGCCTCTAATTTACCTTTTTTTTTTGAGATTGAGTCTCGCTCTGTCGCCCAGGCTGGAGTGCAGTGGTGGAGTGCAGTGGTGCGATCTCAGCTCACTACAAGCTCTGCCTCCTGGGTTCACACCATTCTTCTGCCTCAGCCTCCCGAGTAGCTGGGACTATAGGCACATGCCACCACGCCTGGCTAATTTTTTGTATTTTTAGTAGAGACGGGGTTTCACCGTATTAGCCAGGATGGTCTCGATCTCCTGATCTCATGATCTGCCCACCTCGGCTCCCAAAGTGTTGGGATTACAGGCGTGAGCCACCACACCCGGCTAATTTAACTTTTAAAAGCTACATGTGGGCCAGGCACAGTGGCTCATGCCTATAATCCCAGCACTTTGGGAGGCCAAGGTGGGAGGATCACTTGAGGCCAGGAGTTCAAGGTTAGTCTGGGCAACATAGCCAAACCCTGTCTCTACAAATAATTTAAAAATTAGTTAGGCATGGTGGTGCTTGCCTATAGTTCTAGCTACTAGGGAAGCTGAGGCAGGAAGATTGTTTGAGCCCAGGACTTCAAGGCTGCAGTAAGCTATGATTGTGTCGTTGCACCCCAGCCTGGGTGACAGAGTGAGACCCCATTTCAATTTTTTTTTTTTTTTTTTTTTTTTTTTGAGACGGAGTCTCGCTCTGCCGCCCAGGCTGGAGTGCAGTGGCCAGATCTCAGCTCACTGCAAACTCCGCCTCCTGGGTTCCCGCCATTCTCCTGCCTTAGCCTCCCGAGTAGCTGGGACTACAGGCGCCCGCCACTGTGCCCGGCTAGTTTTTTGTATTTTTTAGTAGAGACGGGGTTTCACCGTGTTAGCCAGGATGGTCTCGATCTCCTGACCTCGTGATCCGCCCGTCTCGGCCTCCCAAAGTGCTGGGATTACAGGCTTGAGCCACTGCGCCCGGCGAGACCCCATTTCTAAAAAATACTCTTAAGAAAAGCTGCCGGCCGGGTGTGGTGGCTCATGCCTTTAATCCTACCACTTTGGGAGGCCGAGGTGGGCAGATCACCTGAGGTCGGGAGTTCAAGATCAGCCTGACCAACATGGAGAAACCCCACCTCTACTAAAAATACAAACTTAACCAGGCGTGGTGGCTCACACCTGTAATCCCAGCTACTCAGGAGGCTGAGGCAGGGGAATCACTTGAACCCAGGAGGCGGAGGTTGCAGTGAGCCAAGATCATGCCATTGTACTCCAGCCTGAGCAACAGAATGAGACCTTGTCTCAAAAAAAAAAAAGAAAGAAAAGAAAGAAAAGCTTCCAATTTAAATTCCTGCTTAGCTTTTTCTAAGGTGCCTAGTGAGAGGTAACAAATGGAGAATGCCCTGTGGCATGTAAGGGGAGGGGAACTGGAAGAAAATCTTGTCATTCACTTGGTTTCTAATTGAGATCTAGGTGGATCACAGATTTCTCCTTTGTGGCCGGACAGAAATGTTAGGGTGTTACCACTGCAATGGGAACAGCCAAACAACCTTTTGTTTCTTTCTCAGTTTTCTTTTTCTTTTTCTTTTTTTTTGCGATGGAGTCTTGCTCTCGTTGCCCAGGCTGGAGTGCAGTGGTACAGTCTTGGCTCACTGCAACCTCTGCCTCCTGGATTTAAGCGATTCTCATGCCTCAGCCTCCCAAGTAGCTGGGGTTACAGGTGCCTGCCCCAATGTCCGGCTAATTTTTTGTGTTTTTGGTAGAGATGGGGTATCGCCATGTTGGCCAGACTGGTCTCGAACTCCTGACCTCAGGTGATCTGCCTGCCTTGGCCTCCCAAAGTGCTGGAATTATAGGCCTGAGCCACCGCTCCTGGGCTGTTTTTCAGTTTTCTTATGTAAAATACTCATTTTCAGAGCAGACACCTTTTTCTTACTGCTTTTCAAAGAATTTCGTTATCAGTTTTAGTTTGCAATATTAACTCTTTTTTCTGGAGGGAAGATATGTATTAGAAGAGTATATAAAGTAACCATTTCTGGAGATTTTTGGGTGGAAAGATAACAGATCTGACTTCTGTGTTAAGTCAACCTTAAACACTTTTGTTTTCCTTGCTTTTATTTAAAATTACTGTCTTTCAAAACCTGGAACCTTTTTTGTAGGTCAGTATTTATACAAAGAGAATTAGCAATATGAAACCTGGAGGGCCATCTGTGAGTTGCAAAGCAACACCTGTGGCTGTTACTAGCCAACTAGCATAATCATAATTTGGAGTCATTTGACCTGACTACTAGGATTTTTTTTTTCCTAGTTCATCTACTTATATTGTACTTTTTAAAATGAGTTTTAAGTCTCTTCTCATAATTTGTTGCCTCAGTTTCCTTTTTTCCTATAAAATTATAAACAGTAATACTATATTTGCCTCCTTCCTAAAAGTATAAAAACTGAGGTATTTATTAAGGATTTCATATTCCTTTCAATAAAAATATTCTAGGGAGGCAATAATGATAAAGAACATGGACTCAGGCCAGGCACAGTGACTCATGCTTATAATCCCAGCCCTTTGGGAGGCTGAGGTGGGTGGATCACTTGAGGTCAGGAGTTCTAGAACAGGCTGGCCAACATATTAAAACCCCGTCTTTACTAAAAATGCAAAAATTAGCCAGGCATGGTGGCAGGCACCTGTAATCGTAGCTACTTGGGAGGCTGAGGCAGGAGAATTGCTTGAACCTGGGAGGTGGAGATTGAAGTGAGCTGAGATCGCACCATTGCACTCCAGTCTGGGCAACAGAGCGAGACTCAATCTTTCTTTTTTGAGACAAGGTCTTACTTGTTCGCCAGGCTGGAGTACGGTGACAGGATCATGGCTCACTGCTGCCTCAACCTCCTGGGCTCAAGCAATTCTCTTATCTCAGCCTCCTGAGTAACTGGGACTACAGTTGTGCACCACCATGCCCAGCTAATTTTTTTAAAAGTTTTTTATAGGTCAAGTACAGTGGCTTATGCCTGTAATCCCAGCACTTTGGGAGGCTGAGGCAGGAGGATTGTGTGAGTCCAGGAGTTCAGAGTTCAAGATCAGCCTGGGTAACACAGCAAGACCCTGTGTCTTTAAAAAAAAAAAAAAAAGAGTTTTATGAGCTAGATTTGGCAAACACCTTTAGTCCCAGCTATTCAAGAGGCTGAGGTGGGAAGATCATGTGAGTCTAGGACTTCAAGGACAACCTGGGCAACATAGCAAGACCTCATCTCTAAAGTATGAAAATAAAATATTTTATGATCAGTAGAATCATATTTTCAGATAACTCCATCTTTTTATGAGTATATTTTAAAAATTTTTTATCAGAAAAATTTGTATTACTTAAATGGCTGTCTGTAATAGGTAGATTATTTTCAGATTACTAAAATCACAAGACTGTTTACTTGATTAATTATTTATGTATGTATTTATTTATTTATTTAGTGAGACAGAGTTTCGCTCTTTTGTTCAGGCTGGAGTGAAGTGGACTGATCTTGGCTCACAGCAACCTCTGCCTGCCCCAGGTTCAAGTTATTCTCCTGCCTCAGCCTCCCGAGTAGCTGGGATTACAGGTGCATGCCACCATGCCTGGCTAATTTTTGTATTTTTAGTAGAGATGGGGTTTCACAATCTTGGCCGGGCTGGTCTACTTGATAATTTTTAAGGAGACTCACCTAATTTTCTTACATTTTGTTTTTGTAGGTAATTTTAACCAATCAGATGACAACAAAGATTGATAAAAATCAGGCCTTGCTCGTTCCTGCATTAGGTGGGTAATTAATCAGATAAACATTTTAGTTAATCACAGTTTTTCTTATCTCTTTCATTTGATTTTCCAGATAAACATTTTAGTTAATCACAGTTTTTCTTATTTCTTTCATTTGATTCTCATTGAATACTATAGCTTCATGAAAGCAGACTGTATTTGTCTTGTTCACTGGTTAATCTTAGCACTAAGCACAGTACCCTTAAATACTGGCTGTTCCTTTTAGTTATTTAACATTTATTGAGTGGCCAGACACAGCCTCTCACACCTGTAATCCCAACACCTTGGGAGGCCGAGGCGGATCACTTGAGACCAGGAGTTCAAGACTGGCCTGGTCAACATGGTGAAACCCTGTCTCTCCTAAAAATACAAAAAATTAGCCGGACATGGTGGCGCACACTTGTAATCCCCCCTACTTGGGAGGCTGAGGAATGAGAATTGCTTGAACCTGGGAGGCACAGGCTGCAGTGTGCTGGGATCGTGCCACTGCACTCCAACCTGGGGGACAGAGTAAGACTCTTAAAAAAGTGCGTATCTACTGTCTGGCAACTATAGTGTCAAAATTCTTGCCCCCAGGGAGTTCACAGTGTTAGAGAGAAGGAAGGGTGAATACACTTAAATACAAATCACATTACAGTGAATATCGTGGTTTTGTTAGAATGCAATGCTTCAAGGTTTATTTCCACTAAAATCTTAAAGAGTATTCTACCAGAGTTTTGGCCAGGCACGGTGGCTTATGCCTGTAATCCCAGCACTTTGGGAGGCCGAGGTAGGTGGATCACCTGAGCTCGGGAGTTTGAGACCAGCCTGACCAACATGGAGAACTCAGTCTCTACTAAAAATACAAAATTAGCTGGGTGCGGTGGCACATTCCTGTGATCCCAGCTACTCGGGAGGCTGAGGCAGGAGAAGCGCTTGAACCTGGGAGGCAGAGGTTGCAGTAAGCTGAGATTGCGCCATTGCACTCCAGCCTGGGCAACAAGAGCAAAACTCTGTCTCAAAAAAAAAAGTTTCTGCCCTGGACTAGTTTTCAACTAATGGCATAGATCATTCTATAAACAGATAATGTCGTAAAGGTTACAATAGAAAGGTACAGGGTACTGTACAAAGGACAGATTCTAACCTGGCCCAGGTGAGCAGGATGAAAAGGAGGAAGGTTAGGGAAGGGAGTGTAATAGTCTCATGTTTCTTCCACCTCTTTTTGTCACTTTCTATCACCCATTTAATTAAGAGCTTCCTAATGTTTGGATCCACTCAGGGGTAATCAAACTCAGCCTTTCTCAAACTCATTCTTTCAGCACGCCATGATAAATCAGAAAGCAAATTTATAAATTTAGTGAGAATTACAATTGTCAAACAGTGAAATTTATGTTTTCTAGTCAGTTTATTTTCTTCCCAGATACCAGAAAGTTGGGAAAGCAGGGGTTCAGAGTTGGTGAGCAGAGAAGCAAATAAATGGAAATGGATGCCCTCAGGAATGTTATGCTTAAGTTGTAATAATTCTGATGCCGACCTTACTTTACTAGCAGAACACCCTTTATCTTGGATATTGCTAGGATATTGTTCAATATAACTTTCAGTTATGATAGAAATGTTCTATGTCTGTGCTCTTCAGTGCAGTAGCCCTTGCTGCATGTGGCTATTGAGGCATTTAAAATGTGGCTAGTGCAGCTGTGGAATGGAATGTTTAATTGAATTTTACTTAAATTTAAATTGCCACATGTGGCAAGTGACTGCCCTGTTGTACAGTGCAGCACTGGATAAACATAACTCCTGTGTTCTAGACTTCAGTCCCACTATTAGCTTTCTGTTTTTGACAGTGTTTGCTGGTATGATAGGTCACTGCTCATTTTACATTACTATCAGTTTAGTTTCCTTTATATTTAAGAGGCTCCCTAATCCCTTAAAGAGATTTAAAAATCAATGTAGACCACTTCTGTGTGAAAATAAGATGGCTGAATTTGCTGTGATTAGAATTAGAAACCGGACCTCTCTTTGCTAGTTCTGGAATTTGGCCAGGATGCACATCAAAATCTCATTCCTACCCTCCTGATTTGTTTCATACAAACTTTGTTGCTGTGTCTGTTCTTTGGTCTTCTATTGCTATGTCTCAGCTTTAGATTCTGTGTCTTGCGTAGAAATGGATCATCAGAATGCAACAGGCAGAAGACTTAGAAGTGCAAATCAGTAGGGTAATGACAAACCCTTTGAGCTGAGTGGGACTGAGAAGTAACCTAACATATAACCTATTTACCATGAAGATTTTCAGTGCTGGACACGTAAATTGCTGAGTTCAACTGCCCTCTTTGCCCTCCAAATCCAGCATAAAAGCAAATGGTGATCTCAGGGCAGTTTCACACCTAATATGACTAATAATAAAAGTCTTGTATTTCAGGAGCTCAGTTTGTCCAATCCTGAGCCCATCATCTCTACCTCACAAATTATATCCACCTTTTCATTTCCTTGCACTATGTTTACATGATACGATAGTACTCCCAAGCACCATTGCTTAAATCTTGAGTTACACCTAATGCTTTTTTTGGGTCTTTTTTTCTTTTTAATGTGAAATAGAATATACAAATGAAAATGTGTATTTAGAAGAGCAATAATAAATGTCCAGGTGCCCATTGCTTGACAAATGGAACATTACCACAGCCCAGGAACCTCGTGTACTCTCCCCCAAAGAGGCAACCACTGTCCTGAATTTTGTATAATTGTCACCTAGCTTTTATAGATTTTACTGTCTGTATATCCCCAACAGTCGCTTATTTATAGCTTTTATATAAATAGAATTATACTGTATATGACTGACAACTTTTGCTCATTATTATTTTTGGATTCATCCATGTTGTTGTATGACAGTGTAGTTCATTTCCATGACATGAATATGCCACAACTTAATTACATATTCTGTTGATGTCAAAAAAAAAAAAAGAATATTTTACCAGAGTTTTACTTTTCTTCTGGAGGTCAGAAATATGTTAGGCTTGGCCGGGCGCGGTGGCTCAAGCCTGTAATCCCAGCACTTTGGGAGGCCGAGACGGGCGGATCACGAGGTCAGGAGATCGAGACCATCCTGGCTAACACAATGAAACCCCGTCTCCACTAAAAATACAAAAAAATTAGCCGGGCATGGTGGCGGCGCCTGTAGTCCCAGCTACTCGGGAGGCTGAGGCAGGAGAATGGCGGGAACCCGGGAGGCGGAGCTTGCAGTGAGCCGAGATCGCGCCACTGCACTCCAGCCTGGGCGACAGAGTGAGACTCCGCCTCAAAAAAAAAAAAAGAAATATGTTAGGCTTGATGATATGGAAAATTGACACACATATGGACTCAGACAATAAAGTTTTCTAAAAGCAAATAGAGAATAATGATTTGCATTATTTCCCTAGATTGGTAAAAATCTTGTAATCTCAGGATATTACTCATTTTCCAGGTTTTTTGAAAGCAAGTAAACTTTTGTTATGTTAAATAAAGTAAGATTATGTTTGATCAGAGGGGTTCTGAGAAATGTATAACCAAGTCAGTAAGGCAATATACAGTTATTATGTTCTTTACTCTTAGGGGAAAGTTGGGGACATGCTGCTACAATACGGCTAATCTTTCATTGGGACCGAAAGCAAAGGTCAGTATAGAAACAAGTTAATAATTCTGAATATTGGGTTAATTACACTGAATGAACACTTACAGATTTCTTAGAGCTAGTCCTGTGGATGAGATATACAATGACCCATGAAGTAACACTTTTGTTGCCTTGTCTGATATCACCTAGAGCAAACATAGAAATGTGCTGTTATTACTGCATATTTAGCTACATAGGAAATTCTCTGGAATATTTAAATGATGGGGCGCATGCACCCGAAATGAGTAGGTGGCCAAGGAATGCCATTTTCTAAAGCTCTTTGAAATAATTTATTAGCCATGTAGAAGGAGGTGAGTACTCTGTGTTCCTGAAAGAGATTGAAAAAAAAGAACAAAATCAGGACAAAAGGAAAATTGTTGAGGTTAGCTTTAAAATTAATTTATTTGGAACATACAATGGTTTTTCTTAGTTCCTTAGTGTATTTCTTGTATAAAATTGTGTCTTTTTTTTTCATTTTGTATTTTGCTCTCCGGCTTTTATTATCCAGTTACCTGCATTTCACAAGTATTGTTCTTTAAAAGTATGGCAGCATGAAATCTTTGTATTTGTTTTTAAAGCTGCTGAGCAAGTGAACAAACCAGCTTTTATTTTCTTGAAAATAGGCCATTGAAAGCAGTGAAGTCTTTTCTATACTTCTAGAAAATGTCAGATTTATACTAGCCTCTCTGCTTTGTGATTAATTGGTATAACCTAGAGGTCTTGGTTTGGAAATGCTCTAATAAAGGGAGAAATTAAAAGGCATGCGGGTAAAGATGGAATAAAGGGTCACTTAAATACATATTGGGCCTAGCCAGTGAAATCGTCTATTTTTTAATCTATATTTCTTTGTTGTTTTACAAACTGAAAAAAATCTTGCCTGACCAAGTTAGGTTTTGCGGACCCGAAGCTCATAACAGAATCGATTACACTTCTGTATGTATCTTTTGCAACTGATCGTGCAGTTTGTGTCTTCTTTAAAAATGGTATTTGCGAAGAGCTCAGGTAACGTTTTTTTCCCCACAATACATAGTGCTTTACTATTGACTGTCTCCCCCTAATTTAAACAAATTTTTTACTTTAAACCAATATGTCTGGTAAATCCTCCCCCTAATTTTTTTTCTATGATCACAATTTGAGATAGTTCCCCTAGTTTTGTAAGTTACGTGGCTGTATACTAGAGCCACAAAAGGAGTTCTTTTCTTGGCACCAAACCTTATTGTAAAGATTTGGCAACAGTTCTCCAGCTGAGAGTCTTTTGAACATATTGTTTATACTTTCCCAGTTTTAGGTTATTCTGTAAAGCACATTCCATCATTTATTTTTTCATAGGAATTACGCCTGAGCTAGTATACAGTAGTCTTCTTCAGACTATAATTAAATATTCACTAATAAAATGCATTTAAGAAGAAAAATAGGCCGGGCGCGGTGGCTCAAGCCTGTAATCCCAGTACTTTGGGAGGCCGAGACGGGCGGATCACAAGGTCAGGAGATCGAGACCATCCTGGCTAACACGGCGAAACCCCGTCTCTACTAAAAACACAAAAAATTAGCCGGGCGAGGTGGCGGCGCCTGTGGTCCCAGCTACTCGGGAGGCTGAGGCAGGAGAATGGCGGGAACCCGGGAGGCGGAGCTTGCAGTGAGCTGAGATCTGGCCACTGCACTCCAGCCTGGGCAACAGAGCGAGACTCCGTCTCAAAAAAAAAAAAAAAAAAAAAAAAAAGAAGAAAAATAATAGGAGCAGAGCAAGATATTTCATCTTTTTATGAACTCATCAGGAGGAAAACTTTGACTTCTTTGTCAAGTTCTAGAAGTTAGCATTGATAAGGTACCCAAGAGATCAGAAAATCTTGCTTACCATGAGTTAACCTTTTATGAATTCACCTTCTTACAAATCCTTCCCAAGAAATTAGAAAATAAAATACATGGCCGGACGCAGTGGGTCACACCTGTAATCCGAGCACTTTGGGAGGCTGAGGTAGGTGGATCATGAGGTCAGGAGATCAAGACCATCCTGGCCAACGTGGTGAAACCCTGTCTCTATTAAAAATAAAAAGTTAGCTGGGTATGGTGGCACATGCCTTTAGTCCCAGCTACTCAGGAGGCTGAGGCAGGAGAATCACTTGAACCTGGGAGGTGGAGGTTGCAGTGAGCCAAGATTGTGCCACTGCCCTCCAGCCTGGTGGCAGAGTGAGACTCTGTCCCCCCCAAAAAAAGAAAATGACGTACAACACCAACATTGAATATAGATAGATTGGGGGAAATCTGCTGTTCTATAATATTTTTTCTACATCTCATAAGATCTTTTTTAATTTTAATTTTTATTTTTCATACTGTCATTTTAGTGCTTGCTTGTACTAGGTATTTTACTAGGCACTTTACAACATTTCAGATAATCTTTTCAATAATTATTTGCAGAACCTATACCGATTATTATTAAAAGTCAGAAAACCAAGGCCCAGAAAGGTTAACTGAATAAGTATTAAATAATAGCTACTATTTATTGAATATTTATTAACTGTCCTTTATTGTGCAAAGCACTGTATGTATACGTATATATACATGTATGTATATATATGTATACATATAGATGTATATATACACATGTATATACATATATATGTGTATGTGTACATACATGTATGTATGTGTATGTATATATATTTTATTTTATTTTCCACATAATTCTTTGAAATAGTATTACCAGATGAGATCGGGCACATTCAGGGTGGTATGGCTATAGGCTGAAATAGTATTATCTACATTTTATAGCTGACTTTATAAACTTTTTTTTTTTTGAGAGGGAGTTTCGCTCTTTTTGCCCAGGCTGAGGTGCTATGGTGAGATCTCGGCTCACTTCAACCTCCACCTCCTGGGGTCAAGTGATTCTCTTGTCTCAGCCTCCTGAGTAGCTGGTATTATAGGCGCCTGCCACCACGCCTTGCTAATTTTGTATTTTTAGTAGAGACGGGCTTTCTCTATTTTGGCCAGGCTGGTCTTGAACTCTTGACCTCAAGTGACCTTCCCACCTTGGCCTCCCAAAGTGCTGGGATTACAGGCGTGAGCCACCACACCCAGCCATAGCTGACTTTATAATAGAGTTCATTTCTTTTCTTCTATGATGACTGTTTCTAGAAGGTAATTGTAGTATTGCGTTGATTGCTAGCCAATCTGAATATGTAGCTTATTCCTTTTTTTAAGTAAAATCTTTTTTCTTCAAACTTTTTTTTTCCCAGCCTGTGGATATATGATAAATAATGTACATACTTTATGTAATCAAAATAAATTGACATCATTTATTAGAATTGAAGTAGTTTTGCTCTTTATCATTTGAAACCTGGCATCTTTAAGTTGTTGAAGTTGCATGAGCTTGAGCCCAAAAGTTGGAGAACAGTCTGGCCAAAATGGCAAGACATCACCTCTATAGATAAATAAAAAATTAGCCGGGCGTGGTGGTGGGCACCTATAATTCTAGCTATTTGGGAGGCCAGGGTTGGGAAAACCGCTTGAGCCCAGGAAGTCAGGGTGGCAGTGAGCTATGATTGTGCTATTACACTCCAGGCTGGGCCACAAAATGGGACCCCATCTCTAAGATATTTAAAAAAAAAAAAATGAGGCCAGGCATGGTGGCTGACACCTATAATCCCAGCACTTTGGGAGGCCGAGGCAGGTGGATCACTTGAAGTTGAGAGTTCGAGACCAGCCTGGCCAATATGGGGAAATCCTGTCTCTACTAAAAATACAAAAAAATTAGCCAGGCATGGTGGCAGGCACCTGTAATCCCAGCTACTCGGGAGGCTGAGGTAGGAGAACCGCTTGAACCTGGGAGGCAGAGGTTGCAGTGAGCCAAGATTGAACCACTGCACTCCAGCCTGGACAGCAAAGTGAGACTCTGTCTCAAAAAAAAAGAAAAAAAGTTGGATGAAATTTTGTATGCTTTTATGCTTTTTAAATTTTAGTTTATTTTAAAAGGATGGAAATAGAAATTCATTATCAGTGAAAAATAGTTATAAAAATGAACATTTTTCATTTGGAGAGGAAGACTGAAAATCTTTTTTTTTTTTTTTTGAGACTGGGTTTTACTCTGTTGCCCAGGCTAGAGTGCAGTGGTGCGATCTCAGCTCACTGTAGCCTCAACCTCCTGGGCTCAAGCAGTCCTCCCACCTCAGCCTCCCAAGTAGCTGGGACCACAGGCATGTACCACCACACCCAGCTAATTTTTGTAGAGATGGGGTTTCGCCATGTTGCCCAGGCTGGTCTCAAACTCGTAAGCTCAGGCAGTCCACCTACCTTGGCCTCCCAAAGTGCTGAGATTATAGGTGTGAGCCACAGCACCCATCCAGAAACTAAAAATCTTGAATAGCCAAATTTATATTAGGAATTGAACTTAGGTGTACTGTTTCATGCCCCAGCTCCTGTCCTTCACCAGTAATACCTGATTTTTACCCTTAGACTAATGATGGAATAATATTCCAACAGTTATTAAAAGAAATACTTTTGTCTGTGTCCTTATATTATGTGGGTTTTCCTCCAATTTGCATATTCATGATTATACGAGGCCAAGATTATTCAGAATTACACTACTCTTTGCCAAGATGATCTGGTGGTAGAGTGGAGTAATAAATCAACACCCCCACACAGTGTTTCATATGTGTGCTCAGTTTTAGAGCACAAATTGTGCTTCTGTCTTATTTCTTCCTGACCCAAGCTATGTAGTTCAGCCATATGTTAAGCTACATCTCAACTGGGGCCATGAGCCAAGTGATTCTTTGGTTTAGTTTTCATTTAAAAAGATCTCTAAAGAGGCATGATGCATAAAAATGGTATTTTTACCTAGAAATTTGAGGACTTTTTTTTTTTTTTTTTTTGAGATGGAGTTTCGCTCTTGTTGCCCAGGCTGGAGTGCAATGGCGCGATCTCAGCTTACCACAACCTCGGCCTCCTGGGTTCATCAATCAATTCTTCTGCCTCAGCCTCCCAAGTAGCTGGGATTACAGGCATGCACCACCATGCCTGGCTAATTTTTTGTAATTTTAGTAGAGACGAGGTTTCTCCATGTTGGTCAGTCTGGTCTCCAACTCCCGACCTCAGGTGATCCACCTTGGTCTCCCAAAGGGCTGGGATTACAAGTGTGAGCCACTGCGCCCGGCCTGAGGATGATTTTCAACCTGAATAATTAATGCCCCTTTGACTTTAGGATTCTTTTTTTGTTTTTTGAGATGGAGTCTCACTCTGTCACCCAGGCTGGAGTGCAGTGGCGCGATACCGGCTCCCTGCAACATCCGCCTCCCTGATTCAAGCAATTCTCCTGCCTCAGCCTCCCAAGTAGCTGGGATTATAGACATGCGCCACCACACTTGGCTAACTTTTGTATTTTTAGTAGAGACAGGGTTTCACCATTTTGACCAGGCTGGTCTCGAATGCCTGACCTCAAGTGACCTGCCCACCTCAGCCTCCCAAAGTGCTGGATTATAGATATGAGCCGCTGCACCCAGCCGACTTTAGGATTCTTAATAAGCATGTAAATGCTTCTTAAAAGCTTATCACTTTTTAATAATTTCCTCAGGATAAATGTACTAGGTACCTTATTTGGACATACCGTTGATATGAGGTGATTTAGATACCAGTTTTTCAGAAAGTTAGCTGATTTTTGTCATTCAAAAAATCATTTCCTATTAAGGCAGGTTAAAATACACCTTGCCTCTCTTTTTCTGTGAATTTTTCCATTAAAGATAGATTATCAACCCTAAAGAATTATAAAAGTTTGTAATTCTACTCGACACAGCTATTCTTTTTTTTTTTTTTTTTTTTTTTGTGAGACTGAGTCTCGGCCTGTCGCCCAGGCTGGAGTGCACAGGCACGATCTTGGCTCACTGCAATCTCCGCCTCCCCAATTCAAGTGATTCTCTTACCTCAGCCTCCTGAGTAGCTGGTATTACAGGTGCATGCCACCAGGCCTGGCTAATTTTTTTTTTTTTTTTTTTTTGTATCTTTAGTAGAGACGGGGTTTCACCATGTTGGCCAGGCTGGTCTTGAACTCCTGATCTCGTGATCTGCCTGCCGTGGCCTCCCAAAGTGCTGAGATTAGAGGCGTGAGCCACTGCGCCCAGCCTCAACATAGCTATTCTTTTATTACATATTAGCAGTTACTTTGTTTATGTTTAAAGTTGCAATTGTGGATTATAGGACATTTTGGATTCGGCTGTATTTTGGTCTCTGTTTTTCTTTTGAATTGTGTCTGAGAAGAGGGGCAATTTCAAAATTAAGAGAGTAACAAATAAAGCCAAAATGTCCTTTTTGAATTGTCTTTGAAAACAAATCATTCTATTTTGTGTAAATAAATGACACTTATAACTCTGAGAATCTTACTTTCCTCTACGTTAGAATCTGTATTTTTTATTTCAGTTTTATCACATTGTGCTAAAATATATGTACAATATAAAATTTACCACTTTATGTTTACATACAGTTCACTGGCATTAAGTACATTCATATTGTGCAACCATCACCATCCATTTTCAGAACTTTTTCATCTTCCCATACTGAAACTCTGTATCCATTAAATGTTAACTCTCGTTCTTTTTTACCCCCAGGCCCTGACAATCACCAACCATTCTACCTTCTGTCTCTGAATTTGACTCCTCTATCTACCCCATATAATTGGAATCATATAATATTTGTTCTGGTGTGACTCGCTTATTTCACTTAGTATAATGTCTTCAAGGCTCATTTATGTTGTAGCATGTGTCAGAATTTTCTTCCTTAAGTCTGAATATTCTATTGTAGGTACATACCACATTTTTTTTATTCATCTGTGGATGCACACTTGGGTGCTTCTACCTCTGGCTATTGTGAATAAGTTACAGTGTATCAGTTTTAAAGTAATTCTTAAAAGCAGTTTTTTGTGGGGGGTTTTTTTTTGTTTGTTTGTTTTTTTTTTTTTTTTTTTTTTTTTGAGATGGAGTTTCACTCTTTTTCCGCAGGCTGGAGTGCAATGGTGCGATCTCGGCTCACCACAACCTCCGCCTCTCAGGTTCAAGTGGTTTCTCCTGCCGCAGCCTCCCGAGTAGCTGGGATTACAGGCATGCGCCACCATGCCCTGCTAATTTTGTATTTTCAGTAGAGACAGGGTTTCTCCATGTTGGTCAGGCTGGTGTCAAACTCCTGACCTCAGGTGATCTGCCTGCCTTGGCCTCCCAAAGTGCCGGGATTATAGGCGTGAGCCACCGCGCCCAGCCAAAAAGCAGTTTTAAAGGTTTTTGTTTATATTTGTTGCTGTTACAGTACTTGAATATAGTTAATAAGAGCTTAGAATTTTATTTCTCAGCTACTTTTAGCTTTCAGTTTTATATTACTTTGTATAAAACATAGTAAAATCGGCCGAGCGTGGTGGCTCACGCCTGTAATCCCAGCACTTTGGGAGGCTGAGGTGGGCGGATCATGAGGTCAGGAGATCGAGACCATCTTGGCTAACACGGTGAAACCCCGTCTCTATTAAAAATACAAAAAATTAGCCGGGCATGGTGGCAGGCGCCTGTAGTCCCAGCTACTCGGGAGGCTGAGGCAGGAGAATGGCGTGAACCTGGGAGGCGGAGCTTGCAGTGAGCCGAGATTGCGCCGCTGCACTCCAGCCTGGGTGACAGAGCGAGACTCCGTCTCAAAAATAAATAAATAAATAAATAAATAAATTATATATATATATATATATATAGTAAAATCCCACCTAAGCAGATCTTGTTCTGTCATGACTTATTTTTGGGACATAATCATTTTATATTATTATTACAGAGATGAGGGTCTCACTATGTTGCCCAGGATGGCTTCAAACTCCTGGTCTCAAGTGATCCTTCTGCCTTGCCCTCCTAAAGAGGTAGGACTACAGACATGAGCCACCATGCCTGGCTGCATCATTTAAAACAATGTCTTCCTAGCTATTTTTATTGGTGTAATATGAGTAAGTGTTTCTCATTTGTAGTATAAGAAATTAACATCATTCTTCAGCAATAATGAAAAAAACATGATTACTGCAGACAGTTTGGAAAATATAAGCAAGCAACCTTTACTTTGTGATAACAACTATTAACTTTTTGATTGTAGTCTTCTATCAATTTTTTGAGATGTGTGTATACATACTTACAAATATGGGATTATATGGTATAACTGTTATTTAGTATATTATTAATACTTTCCTATCTCTTTGAATATTTTCTCCCACCTTTAGTTTTTAGCATAAGTAATATCTCATCATATATAAAATAATTTATTTGAATCAGTCATTGGACTTTTACGTTGCTTTAAAATTTCTTATAACTCATATACATACGGGTATTTGAAGGGTGTGTTCTTAGAGAAAAAATAATAGAATTATTAATATAATAAACCTAAACATTTAAATTATGAGTTTGGTCATCTGAACTTTTAATTAATTAAGTTCATGTGTTTGTATGTATTTATTCTTTTTTTTTAAGCAGGTTGGCAACATTGTACAAGTCACCCAGCCAGAAGGAATCCACAGTACTGTTTCAAATCAAAGTCAGTGTTATTTGATTAGAGTGGGATTTTGATATTGATGGGCAGTAATTATCTAAAGAGAGAATTTACAACTTGCTTCTGTTAACTTCTGTAGGCAGCAAGCATATTTGAGGACAGCTTTTGATGCTTAGAACATTGTCCCCAAAATAGTAGTGTATACAGAATATTGTAGTCACAAATGGACTGAAATTTATTCTTAAGAACAGAGGAAATACTTATTTTGGGGTAGTGTGTTCCATGCCATATGTAATGTCAGGATATTAAACATCTTTAAAGTGAAAGTTGTTGAAGATTTCCAGAAAAGAAAAAATACTAACATTATTTATTTTGGTCTGTAGGTATTATAGATCTATTGTAGCCACCAAATATAGCCCACTTTAAGATGTTAATTTTTCTGTGAATTTACATCATAGAACACACATTTTTTGGCTGAAATATACATATTTATCAATAGTGTTGAGCCAAATGTATTTTTGGCATCTCTTTTTGTTTTTGAGATGGAGTCTCTCTGTGTTGCACAGGCTGGAGTGCAGTGGCGCAATCTTGGCTCACTGCAACCTCTGCCCTACTGATTTAAGCAATTCTCCTGCCTCAGCCTCCCTAGTAGCTGGGATTATAGGCGTATGCTACCACGCCTGGCTAATTTTTGTGTTTTTAGTAGAGATGGAGTTTCGCAATGTTGGCCAGACTAGTCTCAAACTCCTGACCTCAAGTGATTCGCCCTCCTCAGTCTTCCAAAGTTCTAGGATTACAGGCGTGAGCCACTGGGCCAGGCTTTATCTCATTTTTATAAGGACATAAACAGAAATAGAGATTCTGAAATGGAATTATCCACTTACTTTTGCACTGCCCAGGTGTCTTTGAAATAGCCTAGTTGGAAAAAAAAAAGAGAGAAATATCCTAGTTGGAAAACTTTAGAGTATTTAATTATGAAAATAAATCTGTAAAGTACCTAAGACTTAGGTTATTTCCTTTTACTTCTTCTAACAAAGCTATCATAAAGTTTGTTAGGATTGTCCTTTACAGAACATTTTTATAATGCAATGTTATTTCTATGTGTGTGTATGAAAGTGTATAAATAAGTATATATAAAATACTCTTAATATAATCCGGGCTTAGGCACCTATCCTTGAGATTTATCCTCTTCATTCACAGTGGTTGATAAATTTCTATCTCAGGAACTTTCTTTTTTTTTTTGGAGACGAAGTCTCGCCCTTTTGCCCAGGCTAGAGTGCAGTGGCACAATCTCGGCTCACTGCAACCTCCGCCTCCCAGGTTCAAGCAATTCTCCTGCCTCAGTCTCCAGAGTAGCTGAGACTAGAGGTGTGCGCCACCACGCCCAGCTAATTTTCATATTTTTGGTAGAGATGGGGGTCACCATGTTGGCCAGGCTGGTCTTGAACTCCTGACCTTGTGATCCACCCACCTCGGCCTCCCAAAGTGCTGGGATTACAGGTGTGAGCCACCGCACCTGGCCCTAGAATAAAGTAACTTTCTTATTAATTACTTAAAAATATTTCTAAGATCAGTCTTCAACTGTTCTTAAATCATATTTGTATATGTATTTTTTATCTTTCAGCCTCAGGGATTTAGAGATACTGTTGTTACTTCTGCATGTTCATTGCAAACAGAAGGTTCCTTGAGCACTCGCAAACGGTCACGAGAACCAGAGGAAGAATTATAACCCAGAAACAAATCTCAAAGTGTACAAATTTATTGATGCTGTGAAACCAGTGTGTACAAGTGGACTTGTTACTTTAAAGTATAAATAAACACTATGGCATGAATGAATCCAGATTATATGAAGTGAATGGGAAAAATACCTAAATATGATTCTGTGAAAGTTTTTCTAAAGCAGTATTCTGCAATTATATTTTACCCTGTTTTCATTTTCAGTAACATTCAGTAGAGATGATGATTATATTTCACAAATGTGGAAAGCTGATCTCATGTGGCTAGTCTGAATTTACCATTCAGACTGTTTTTACCCCTTTCTTTCCTAGTTGCCTAGAAAATCTTAGGAAGAAAAGATTTTTTCATATTCTTATTGTGGTTTTTTTTTTGTTTTTTGTTTTTTGGTTTTTTTGGAGATGTAGTCTCACTCTGTAGTCCAGGCTGCAGTGCAATGGCGCAATCTCGGCTCACTGCAACCTCCACCTCCCAGGTTCAAGCAATTCACCCGCCTCAGCCTCCCGAGTAGCTGGGGTTGCAGGCACCCGCCATCATGCCCCGCTAATTTTTTTGTATTTTTGTAGAGACGGAATTTTACCATGTTGGCCAAGCTGGTCTTGAACTCCTGACCTCAGGTGATCTGCCTGCCCCTACCTCCCAAAGTGCTGGGATTACAGGCGTGAGCCACTGTGCCCAGCCATGTTCTTTTTTTTTTTTTTTTTTTTTTTTTTTTTTTTTTTTTTTTTTTTTTTTTTTGGGGGTTCCTCTGTCGCCCGGTGGTGCAGTGCCGATCTCAGCTCACCAAGCTCCCCTCCGGGTTCACGCATTCCCTGCTCAGCCCTGTGCTGGAACAGGCGCCACTCGCCCCTAATTTTTTTTGTATTTGTAGAGAGGGGTTTCACCGTGTGCCAGGATGGTTCGATCTGATTGTATCCCCCTCGCCTCCAAGTGCTAGATTACAGCTTGGCCCGGCCCGCCATGTTCTTTTTAAATGTAAGTTTGATAATTCTTTAAAATGACCTGCAGCACCATGAGTCAGCATATCATTCTGTTCAGTTTTATTAGGTAAGATACAAATTTTAGGTGACCACACTGATTTTAGTGACCTCAATCCTAAAATCTAAGCCATTTGTTTAGCATTTAATGATGTTTTATAATGTTAAAGGGAGGACTTTGGAGCTGTTATCTCTCTCTAGAGATTGTTTGGAACATATATCTTCCAGAATAGGTTGATAAGCTCACAATCATTTACTGCTACGTTTTTTGTTTTGTTTTGTTTTGAGACAAGGTCTCACTCCCAGGCTAGAGTGCAGTGGCATGATCACAGCTCACTGCAACCTTGACCTGGGCTCAAGCAATCCTCTCACTTCAGCCTCCTGAGTAGCTGGAACTACAGGTAGGCACTACCATGCCCTGCTAATTTTTGGATTTTTTTTGTAGAAACAAGGTTGCCCAGGCTGGTCTCAAACTCCTGGGCTCAAGCGATCCTCTTGCCTTGTCCTTCCAAAGTGCTGGGACTGCAGATGTGAGCCACCACACCTGGCCTTATTTCTATATTTTGAAACACGGTATGATCCATTTTAGAATTCTAGTTGTTACATTGAGATTTTTCTTTGAATAATCTTAACTTTGCTTAAATAAGTTAAAGATTTCAATTATTGATGGTTTCAAAATCACCTAAAAATATTTTGGCACCTGGCTCTTCGTACTTTTCAACTTACTCACAAAATTTACTTTGGTTCCCTGTGGGGGAAAAAAATTAATTAATTAGTTAATTAATTTTTCTGTCTCTTTTGAGACAGAATCTCGCTCTGTCACCGAGGCTGCAGTGCAGAGGCACAATCTTGGCTCACCGCAACCTCCACCTCCAGGATTCAAGTGATTCTTGTGCCTCAACCTCCCAAGTAGCTAGGATTACAGGCATGCACCACCATGCCAAGCTAATAGTTTGTATTTTTAGTAGAGACAGGTTTCTCTGTGTTGGCTAGGGTGGTCTTGAACTCCTGGGGCTCAAGTGACCCGCCCACCTCTGCCTCCCAAAGTGCTGGAATTACAGGTGTGAGCCTGCGTGCCCAACCATATTTATATATTTATTTTTAAACTTTTGTTTTAGGTTCAGGGGTACATGTGAAGGTATGTTACATAGATAAACTCATGTCACAGGGGTTTATTGTACAGATTATTTCATCACCCAGGAATTAAACTCAGTACCCAATAGTTGCCTTTTCTGCTTCTCTCCTTCCTCCCACCTTCCACCCTTAGGTAGTAGACCCCAGTGTGTGTCTGGTTGTTTTTTTTTTTTTTTTTTTTTTTTTTTTTTAATTTTTATTTTTGAAATGGAATCTTGCTCTATCACCCAGGTTGCAGTGCAGTGGCAGGATCTTGGTTCACTACAACCTCCACTTACCGGGTTCAAGCGATTATCCCACCTCAGCCTCCAGAGTTGCTGGGATTACAGGCACACGCCACCACACCCAGCTAATTTTTTGTATTTTTAGTAGAGACGGGGTTTCATCATGTTGTCCAGGCTGGTCTCGAACTCCTGACCTCATGATCCACCCACCTTGGCCTCCCAAAGTGCTGGGATTACAGGCATGACCCACCGTGCCTGGCCTGTTTTTTCTTTTGTTTTCATAAGTTCTCATCATTTAGCTCCCACTTGTGGGTGAGACATGCGGTATTTGGTTTTCTGTTCTTGCATTAGTTTGCTAATAGCCTCTAGTTCCATCCATGTTCCTGCAAAAGACATGATCTTGTTCTTTTTTATGACTGCAAAATTATTTGAATAATTGAATATTAAATACTGTAGCAGCAATATTTTCCAAATTTTAGTGATAGGTGTTATTTCCTATCCCAGATTAAACAGTAAATTTATAAAATTACGTCAGTGTAATTCTTTTCTGCAATTGATTATATAGAATAGCCATCATCTACCAGGACTTGAGAGTGAAAGCAGGCACTGCTAACAATTATGCCAATACAGAGGCTATAAACAAAGACTAACTTCAAATCACTTCTCTGACATAGAATGACTAATTGTGACTCTCTTTTGTGGGCCTCAAAGCATATAATTTATTATAATTGATGCCATCATTTTAACAAATACCCATCACTTTATATTCTGTCTTCTGAAATCATAAAATCAGGAGTATGAGGGCGTTATAAGTGATAAATATCAGTGTTACCAAGCATCAGATGAAATAAAATAATGTAGGATCTCTTTTTTTTTTTTGAGACAGAGTCTTTGTCACCCAGACTGCAGTGCAGTGGCACGATCACTGCTCACTGTAGCCTTGACCTCCCAGTCTCAAGTGATAATCTTTCCACTTCAGACTGGAAAGTACAGGCATGCACCACCACGCCCAGCTAATTAATTTATTATTTTGTAGAGACAGGGTCTCACGATATTGCCTGGGCTGGTCTCAAACTCTTGGGCTCAAGTGATCCTCCTGCCTCAACTTTCCAGAGTGCTGGGATTACAGATGTGAGCCATTTGGCCTGGCCTCCAGAATGTCTTTTTATAAAGTATCATAACACTGTACTGTATTTTATGTATTTATTTATTTATTTTGAGACAGTCTTGCTCTGTTGCCCAGGCTGGAGTGCAGTGGTGCAATCTCAGCTCACTGCAACCTCCACCTCCGGGGTTCACGTGATTCTTATGCAGCCTCCTGAGTTCCTGGGACTACAGACATGCACAACCATGCCCAGCTATTTTTTTTGTTTTTTTGAGATGGACTTTCGCTCTTTTTGCTGTGTCACCTGGCCCGGAGTGCAGTGGCACCATCTTGGCTCACTGAAACCTCCGCCTCCTGGGTTCAGGTGATTCTCCTGCCTCAGCATCCTGAGTAGCTGGAACTACAGGCACATGCCACCACGCCTGGCTAATTTTTGTATTTTTAGTAGAGACGGGGTTTCACCATATTGTCCAGGCTGTTCTCGAACTCCTGATCTCACATGATCCGCCCGCGTTGGCCTCCCAAAGTGCTGGGATTACAGGCTTAAGCCACCGTGCCCAGGCCCCTTAGAATTTTTTGTTACTTGGTTTTAACTGAGGATATGATAGTACACCTATGTCCCACACTTTATATAGGCTTGCCATCTAATGCTACACCAGTAAATTGGTTAAAGTCTCAACTTTCTGGCAAACCAATGATTGCATCCAGTTTTCATCTTGTGGTTAGTTTGGCAAATCATCTCAGAAGTATTTTTTCTTAGAAAAAATAAATTGTGGCCGGGCGCGGTGGCTCACGCCTGTAATCCCAGCACTTTGGGAGGCCGAGACGGGCGGATCACAAGGTCAGGAGATCGAGACCATCCTGGCTAACACAGTGAAACCCCGTCTCTACTGAAAATACAAAAAATTAGCCGGGCGCAGTGGCGGGCGCCTGTAGTCCCAGCTACTCGGGAGGCTGAGGCAGGAGAATGGTGTGAACCTGGGGGGCGGAGGTTGCAGTGAGCCGAGATCGCGCCACTGTACTCCAGCCTGGGCGACACAGTGAGACTCTGTCTCAAAAAAAATAAAATAAATTGTATTTTTAGCTTCAATTTTTGTGATATGTAACTTAAAACATATTTATATAGTTCTTTATTATTTATGACACACTGTGGCCGGGCACAGTGGCTCATGCCTGTAATCCCAGCACTTTGGGAGGCCAAAGCGGGTGGATCACCTGAGATCAGGAGTTCAACACCAGCCTGGTCAATATAGTGAAACCCCTACTCTACTAAAACTACAAAAATTAACTGGGTGTGGTGGCACATGCCTGTAGACCCAGCTGCTTGGGAGGCTGAGGCAGGAGAATCTCTTGAACCTGGGAGTCAGAGGTTGCAGTAAGCTGAGATCACGCCACTGAACTCCAGCCTGGGTGACAGAGCGAGACTCCATCCCAAAAACAACAACAACAACAACAACAAAAAAAAACACTTCTACATCATTTTATTTGATCCTTCTAGCAGCTCTGTAAGGTGGATGTGATAGGCTAGCCTGTCTGCTTTTCATCTTTCCTTCCATCCATTCAGTGCCTAACACACATTTAACCACTTGTTGAAATAATATTTCAAATAAGATTTTGAATACATTGTGTTTTTTTTTTGTTTTTTTTTGTTTTTTTTTTTTTTTTTTTGAGACGAAGTCTAACGCTGTTGCCCAGGCTGGAGTGCAGTGGCGCGATCTCGGCTCACTGCAAGCTCTGCCTCCCGGGTTCCCGCCATTCTCCTGCCTCAGCCTCCTGAGTAGCTGGGACTACAGGCGCCCGCCACCGCGCCTGGCTAATTTTTTGTATTTTCGGTAGAGACGGGGTTTCACTGTGGTCTCGATCTCCTGACCTTGTGATCCGCCCGCCTTGGCCTCCCAAAGTGCTGGGATTACAGGCTTGAGCCACCGCGCCCGGCCACATTGTGTTTTTTTTTTCTTTTTTCCGTTTTTTTTGTTTGTTTGTTTGTTTGGTATTTTTTTTGGTGACCCTGACGTGATATGAACAAATTCTGTTTTTCAAATGGTCAGATGGAAATACTATTTGGTCATGACTAGGATGGTGTTTATAAGCCACCTGTGTAACTGGGTCTACAGGCGCAGGCCACCGCCCAGCTAATTTTGTATCTTTTGTACAGATGGGGTTTCCCATGTTGCCTAGGCTGGTCTTGAACTACATTCAGTTGATCTGCCTGCTTCAGCCTACCAAAGTGCTGGGATTATAGGCATAAGCTACCACACCTAGCCTTAGCATGTTTTTAGTATTTATCCATGTTGTAGCATATATAAACTTCATTTCTTTTTATTGCTAAATAATATTCCTTGCATGTATATATCACGGTAGTCCCCCTTTATCTAAGGGGGATACATTCTAAGACCCTCCAGTGGATACCTGAAACCAAAGGTAGTACTGCACTTTTTTTTTTTTTTTTTTTTTTTTTGAGACAGAGTCTTGCTCTGTCGCCCAGGCTGGGGTGCAGTGGCCGGATCTCAGCTCACTGCAAGCTCCGCCTCCCGGGTTTAGACCATTCTCCTGCCTCAGCCTCCCGAGTAGCTGGGACTACAGGCGCCCGCCACCTCGCCCGGCTAGTTTTTTGTATTTTTTAGTAGAGACGGGGTTTCACCGTGTTAGCCAGGATGGTCTCGATCTCCTGACCTCGTGATCCGCCCATCTCGGCCTCCCAAAGTCCTGGGATTACAGGCTTGAGCCACCGCGCCCGGCCAGTACTGCACTTCTATATGTATGATGCATGAATATTTTTCCTCACAATTTCATGGATAGAAGACTCGTGTTTTTTTTGTTCGTTTGTTTGGTTTTTTTGAGATGGAGTCTTGCTCTGTCGCCCAGGCTGGAGTGCAGTGGCGCTATCTCAGCTCACTACAAGCTCCGCCTCCTGGGTTCATGCTATTCTCCTGCCTCAGCCTCCTGAGTAGCTGGGACTTCAGGCGCCCGCCACCGCGCCCGGCTAATTTTTTGTATTTTTAGTAGAGATGGAGTTTCATCGTGTTAGCCAGGATGGTCTCCATCTCCTGGCCTCATGATCTGCCCACCTTGGCCTCCCAAAGTGTTGGGATTACAGGCGTGAGCCACCG